AAAAAAAAAAAAAGTGCAAGAAAAATCGAAGGAATAATCTCTGAAAGTAAAAGGTGCTTTCCCCCTACCAGGTTCCAATACAAATACACTATTTTCTTAAAATCTGAAGAAATCTCACCGGATTGGTTTAATAGGTCTGTCTGGTCCATCCATCTCGTAAGAGAAAACATTATCCCATTTGAATTTCAGTTCCCAGTCAAAGGCTCCCCTTACAACGGGAGAGGCCCGATACTCCAGGGTGGTCTCATCAATGACATCTATCAGAGGGCACACCACCATTTTGTGGTCCTTGGCAATGGAGTATAGCAAGGGCTCCAGCCAGCCTTTGTTCACCTCACAGTGGCTGTCCAGGAACACCAGGACATCCCCTGGGGAGGCAAGAACAGGGTTCTGTTAGACCACAAGGATGAAACACAAGGCCACACAAACCAAAGTTCAGTGCAGTTAGTGTTGGTTGATTATTTACTATACGTAATATGTATTTGGGCTGGGCATGGTATAATCCCAGCACTCTGGGAAGCCAAGGCGGGTGAATTGCCTAAGCTCACGGGTTCCAGAACAGCCTGAGTCAGAGCAAGACCTTGTTTCTAAAAATAGCCCGGCCTTGTGATGGGTACCTGTAGTCCCAGCTACTTGGGAGGCTGAGGCAAGAGAATTGCTTGAGCCCAGGAGTTTGAGGTTGCTGTGAGCTGCGATGTCACAGCACTCTACCCAGGGCGACAGCGTCAGGCTCTGTCTCAAAAAAAAGAGAAAAAGAAAAAGTTGCTCTGCCCCTGTTGGCTCTGTAGTTAGAGAAAGGATTACACTATTTATTGTTTTTACTGTTAACCTATCAGGCATTCATTTGGATTCTATCTGAAGTCCTTATTGGTGATTCTAGATTCAGTCAACTTCTCTCTAGGGTCTGTGATGAGTAAGGAACGAGGCCAAGCCTGACACGAGACTTTTCCTATACTCCCTCCAAAGGATATTTGTGGAATTATTCAAAAGGACGCCATTGCTCACCGACTTCCAAGTTGAGATCTCTGCTCTCCATCTTTCCCTGCACAGGAGCTTGCTGTCTGCTTGCCTGGAGTAACCCATTAGCGCACCTTCTCTAGGGACTGTGGTTTGCAAGTTCTGTTGACTTGTTTTGGAAAGTAACAAGGACTGTGGACTTGACTCTCACTCACCATTTCCTGTCTTTCTCTTATGTCACTTTATTTTCTGCTTTTCTTTAGTCAGTGTCTACATTTTTACATTAAACATAACTCACTGTATTTATTTTAAATAACATTAAAATACTCGTGATTAATCCCTAAAACCAACCTTTTTTTTTTTTTTAGACAGAGCCTCAAGCTATCCCCCTGGGTAGAGTGCGGTGGCATCACAGCTCACAGCAACCTCCAACTCCTGGGCTCAAGCAAGTCTCCTGCCTCCGCCTCCCAAGTAGCTGGGACCACAGGCGCCCAGCACAACGCCCAGCTACTTTTTGGTTGCAGCCATCATTGTTGTTTGGCAGGCGTGGGCTGGATTCGAACCGGCCACCTTAGGTGTACATGGCTGGTGCCTTAGCCACTTGAGCCACAGGCGCCGAGCCAAAGCAACCATTTTTAACATCTTAAGAATATTTTCATTTTTATTGATCTATGTATTATTTTATTGCTTTACTTTTCCAATATTTTTGAATTGATGTTTAAGAATGTGGTATGCAAAATCTATTTCAGGGAATTTACAGAGAATCTATGCTTAAGTAAATGATCAATTTTTGTGAAATACGTAAGGATTTATATTTAGTTCTCACTACCCATTCGTTAAACCTATCCATTAGGATTTTGTTAAAAAAAAAAATCTGAAGTAACAATACTATTCAAGTCCCTAATTTTCAGCCAGGCATATGCTATTCAGAAGGCTGAGGTAGGAAGATCACTTGAGACCAGGAGTTTGAGACAGCCTAGGCAACATAGTGAGACTCTCATGTCTATAAAAATTGTTTAAGAACTAGCTGGGAATGATGGTCACACACCTGTAGTCCCAGCTACTTGGAAGACGGAGGCAGGAGGATGGCTTGAACATAGGACTTGGAGGCTACAGTGAGCTATGATCTCACCATTGCACTCCAGCCTAGGCAACAGAGCAAGACCCTGTATTTAAACGAACAAACAACACCCTCAAAATCTCTACTGTAGCATTGCAGGTTGTGTTCCACTGGGCAAAAGATATGTTTAAGTTCTAACCCCCAGTACCTGAAAAGGTGATTTAATTTGGAAACAGAGTCTGTGCAGGTATAATTGAATCTTACTGTGGTAGAGTGGACCCTTAATCCAAGACGACTGGTGTCCTAAGAAGAGGGGAAGAGACACAGACAGACACACAGAAAGAACTTCATGTGACAAAAGAGGAGAAGACTAGAGAGCAGCAGCCGCAAGCCACGGGGTGACAGCCACCGCCAGAAGGTGGAAGAAGAGGGGAAGGAGCCTCCCCTACAGGTTAAGAGGGAGCATGACTGGGCCTGCACCTTGATTTTGGCCTCCAGAACTGCGAGAAACTATATTTCGGTTGTTTAAGCCACTTGATTTGTGATACCTTGTTATAGCAGTCCTGGGAAACTAATATAGGTAAACATAATAAGTAAATTTCAGAATTATTCTCATGAAGTCAGGAACAGGAAAGGGAAGCCTAGGAGCTCTGCTTTTAATCAACATTTGAGGAGGAAGGAGCAAAACTGTCTATTTTCAGTTGAAAATGCAAGACGGTCTACCAACTAACCATTCCCCGTTAGGAGAGCTTACTGTGGCTTCCAGGGACAAGGTCAGATGCACAAAGCGTCTTCCTTCCTATATACCAGTGGTAGTTAGAAAATGGAAGGGCAAACTCCCAATCACAATTTGAAAAAGAACAACAACAACAAAATCAAGATTGGCACCTGGGGCTCAAGTGGCTAAGGCGCCAGCCACATACACCTAAGGTGGTGGGTTCGAATCCAGCCCGGGCCCGTCAAACAACAATGACGGCTGCAACCAAAAAATAGCCGGGTGTTGCAGCAGGTGCCTGTGGTCCCAGCTACTTGGAAGGCTGAGGCAGGAGGCTCACTGAGCCCAGGAATTGGAGGTTGCTGTGAGCTGTGATGCCACAGCACTCTAACCAGGGGAATAGCTTGAGGCTCTGTCTCAAAAAAAAAAAAAGAAACAAAATCAAGATAAATGGGGATCAATTTTTGCACATAGTATCTATGGAAAAAAGACAAAACATTATCAAAAGAATATAGAAGTAGATCTGAATAAACGTCCATGGATGGGAACACTTATTGAAAAGATACAAATTTCCCCCTACTTTCTTGTGTTTTATTTTTCATAATGTTTAAATTTTATCATAAGTACGTAATAGTTATACATACTTACGGGATTTGTGTTATATTATTACACAAACATACAACGTCTAATGAACATGTCAGGTTTAATGGGCATAAAAATACAGTTAGATAGAAGGAATGAGATCTAGTATTTGGAACACAGTAAGGTGATTACAGTGAACAATAATTGATTATGGCTCGGTGCCTGTAGCACAGTAGTTACGGTGCTGGCCACATACACCCAGGCTGGTGTGTTCACCCAGTCCATGCCAGCTAAACAACAATGACAACTGCAACAACAACAACAAAATAGCCGGGCATTGTAGCAGGCACCTGTAATCCCAGCTACTCGGGAGGCTTAGGCAAGAGAATCGCTTCAGCCCAAGAGTTTGAGGTTGCTGTGAGCTGTGATGCTATAGCACTCTAACTGGGGGTGACATAGTGAGACTCTGTCTCAAAAAAAAAAAGACAATATTTTATTATATGTTTCAAAATAACTAAAAGAGTGGAATTGGAGTGTTCCTATCACAAAGAAATGATAAATGCTTAAAGTGACAGACATCTCCCGCATTTTAATCTATAATCTCAATGCAATTCCAATGAAAATCTCAACAAATACTTCATAGAATTTGATAAACTGATCCTAGCTAACACAATTTTGTAGACTGAAGTGGAAATATTTGTCCTACAGGCATTATGATCAAGAGAATAAGAAGATAGGAAAACTTCATATCAAGAAGATATAAAAACTTCTTATCAAGCTATTACTAATCAAGAGAATGTATGATTAGCCTAGAAATAAAAAAATACCATAATAGAGCAGAAGACGGAAGGCAAAATAGACCCAGGAATATACAGACATTTGACAAATGGTGGAGTAGCATTGGACTAGCCAGGGAGCGGTGTGGGGACCACTGGCTATTCACAAAGAAACAATTACATTAGATTCTTACTTTACACCATTCCCAGAACAATCAGTTCCACGTGGGTTAACAGTAAATATAAAAAACAAATTTTTTTTAATTGTAGAAAAAGCTAAAAATGAATATCATCCTGACCTCAGAGTAAGGATTTCTTCAACAAGACACAGAATGCAAGACCAACAGGAATAAATCTTTGTACATACCACCTATGGAGAAAACAACAGACCATTATCAAAAGAATACGATGGTAGATCTGAATGAAATGTCCGTGGATGGGAACAGACATTGATGAATGTGATCATTTTATTACTTAAGTGATTTTTTTTTTTTTTTTTGATACCAGATCTTAACTCTGTCACCCAGGCTAGGCTGCAGTGGTGTAGTCATAGCTCACAGCAACCTCAAACTCCTGGGCTCAAGTGATCCTTCTGCCTTAGCTTCCTGAGTAGCTGGGACCACAGGCACCCGCCACCACACCTGGCTAATTTTTCTACTTTTTGTAGAGATGGGGTCTCATCTTGCTCTGGCTGGTCTTAACCTCCTGGCCCCAAATAATCCTCCCACTTTGGCCTCCCAAAGCGCTAGGAGTATAGGCGTGAGCTACTGTGCCTGGCCTATTATTTAAGTTTTAAGCCATTTGGTTTATGATGCTTTGTTATGGCAAACTAATACAAGTAAACATAATTAAATGAAACTTCAGAATTCTTCTGATGAAAGGCAGGAATAGGGACAGCGTACATCAAAAATGTCTCCAGGAACAAATACAACAGAGGTTTGCCTCTCCTCATTTGGAAGTCAAAATCGGTGTTCCTGACTGCGGACAATTCTCCTCCATGTGGCCCTCTGGGGACACAGGTTGCTGTAGGCTCTTTGACACACAGCCTCCAAAGTCACTGTAGTGACCACCTAGTCAGCTGGAACAGGAACTAAGTTGTGGAGGGACAAGCTAGCTTCCTCACGTCCCACGGCTAAAACTTAGTCACAGGGTCATTCCCATTGAAGGGAGCTAGAAAGTTTAGTCTGCGTCCAACTAGAGAAAATGGAATTTCCAGTGAACTGAAAGACTTAAAAGTTTCTGCTCGACATAAGACACCATAAACAAAGAAGGAAATATAAGCCAGAGACGAGGGAAGGGTATTCTCAGGGTACCTAAGAAGATTCATGGTACTCATATAAAGGCGCTACTTATCAACAATAAAACGACAAACTCAATAGAAAAGTTGGCAAAGGATAGCCACCCATTCACAGAAAAATGGTCTGTAAACAATCTATAAAAATAAGGAAATATACTTCATAATGCTTAGTAGTGCTGACAAAAATCTTTACAGAGAACTTTGAACTGTGGCACTGGTTAGAGAGACTGGTGATACCCAGCTCTGGTGGCAGAGAAAGGGCCCTCTGTTAATTGGTGCAAACTTTTCCAGACAATTTGGTACTATCCATCACAATTTAAAGAAAGAATTCCTTTTTACCCAGCAATTCCACGCTTAGTAATTTATCCCATAAGCACAATCGCACATTTGCACAAAGATAAATACCTAAGAATTGTCAGGGCCATATTTTTTGGTAATAATGATAAAACTTACTAATTTAGAAGGGGCTAAACAAATTATGAAGATCAATAGTAAAATCCATATGGAATACCATCCAATGAAGCCATTACAAACGAAGGTAATTGAAAAGTTCCAAAACATTAAAAACAAATTAAAAGAGTAAGTCTCAGGACAATATAGATAGTGTGACTCCACGTGTTTTAAAATCCTTAAAACTGTGTGCATAAACATTTATATAAATGCATTAAAACAAAGGCCTGAAATAATACACACCATATGGTGTTAGTGGTTTGTCTCGAGTTTTGGACAATGAACATTATCTTTGTAGTTAAATGAGAGAGTGTCTCCCCTGATTGGGCCAACTTGAAATAAGAGAATTAAATTTTGCTTTTTTTTTTTTTTGCTTTTCACTCAATAAGGAGGTGATCCCTGCTAAGGAGCTGGTACATTTCATTAGGTGGCTACGAGGCCTGATGAAGTGCCCTTACAAAAGGATTCCTCTCCCTTGCTTCTAGCTTAACGTTCTGCACACACCTCTCTGATGGCAGGACTTGATTAGGCAGCACGGACCCTCAGTGAGCGGCTCCGTTGACAGTGATGGCTCAGAGCCCTCCCGGGGGCTGGCTGTGGCAGTCATGTTCAAGGCCATGTCTCCAGGGGAGGATGGTACTCACATCCAAAGACTGCTGTGTGCCTGGTCCCCTTACCTGGATCTGGGACCTCTCTGAACGGCTGTCGCTGGCAGCCCTGAGAGTGTACCGTTCAGAGCTCCCTCCAAGAAAATCTGCTGTAAGGAGCACGTTTGACAATTTCCTGCTGCCAAAGTCGGGGATCTACAGTAGTTGATGCCAGGACACACACTCTGCGAGGTGCTCCCCCCAATGACTAAGCACAGTGCTTGTGTTCAGGGACAGTAAAAGTGGAACTCCTCACTGGGCAGTCTTTGCACCTGTCTCCCCACTACGGGGCCGAGCCTTTCTGAAAAGCACACCCTGGCGGAAGCTCCTCTAGGTAAACCAGCTTACTGGCTGGTTCCCTCCACAGGCGTCCGGCCGCAGCTTCTGCCCACACTGCTTCCTCTCTCTTTTATCCTTCATGGACCTCCCCTGCACTAAGCTTTCTCTGGTCACTTCCTCGTGGGGTTCTGGCCTCAGAGTTGCCAGCAGCTCTCCCTCACACCTTCATTCCTGTGTAGTCCCCACCCCCTACCCCACATAGCACTCCACCTCTGAGCTGGTGCCATCTGGGAACTCAGGCCGTGATGGGGGCTGACGATGTGGTCCCTGCAAAAGAAATTCTTTTATTCAAAATAACAAACTGACATTGGGAAGTGGAATACTTCCAGTAGAAAAAGAAGATTAAAGGCTCATATGGCCGGATGTATTAACACTCTTCTGATGAAGCTGGAGGAGACACAGAGGGTCTCCCTGGGTGGCTTGTGCCTGGGTTTATTCCTGCACAGAAAGGAGGATCTCAGTAGCACATGACTAGCCCATGTCCCCAGGAATGTGCCTACCTGACGCCCGAGCTGCTCCAATCATCCTTCCTCGAATCAGCCCTTCTCTCTTTTGGTTTCTTATTAATTTAATCTTTCCTCGAAAAACTTCCAAGACATAGTCAAGTTTTTCTTTCAAATCATCTGGAAAAATATCCAATATTTGACAATGTATAAGTTGCAACTATGGAGATTAAAAACAAATATCATCATGATTGATGATATGGAAATCATGCCATTCCACACAGTTCTAACTTCATTTTGAGACAGAGTCTAGCTCTGTTGCCCAGGCTGAAGTGCAGTGGCATAATCATAGCTCAGTGCAATCTTGAACTCTTGGACTCAAGGGAGCCTTCTGCCTCAGCTTCCTGAGTAGCAGGGACTATAGACACCCATCACCATGCCTGGCAAATTTTTCTATTTTTTGTAGAGATGGGAACCTCACTCTTGCTCAGGATGGTCTTGAACTTCTGGCCTTAAGCAATCCTCCCACCTCAGCCTCCCAGAGAGCTGTCATTACAGGTGTGAACCATCCCACCCAGCCAGAAGTTCTAACTTTAAAAGGAAATTTTATCCTATGTAAGGGGGAGGGAGAAATCAACTGTAAATATTTTTCAGAAATCAAAATCAACTGTAAATATTTTTCTGCACTTCTCGTGAAATAATTCTATTTTCATAAATCACTATTAAAGTTTTAATAGGAGAAGCACAAGTTACAGAGCTTTGGTGCAACTTGACTTTGCCACTAACTGTGCTAATCACACTGTAAACAACCACGCTTCTCATGTTGTAGGAACTCTTAGGCAAGTTAACAAATGGCTGAAGCCTTTGTTTCCTCAGCTCTGAGAAGGGCTGGGTACTGTGTTCCTGGCAGCACTCCAGTGGAAGGAAGAAATACATCACTCAGCACAGAGCCTGGTCTCTAACAGTCACTTAGTGTCTTCAGGTTAATGTGATGATGACAAAGGAGCCTGGCACCAGGTGATCTGGAGGGACCTTGATGAAGTCAAAATTCTTCCATCTCAGGAACTGATCAGGAGGCTGGGATCAATATGAGTAGGTTCACAGTAATTTTGGCAGAAGGAAGGGTCTCCTTGTTTCCGGAAAGAGACAACGACATGGCTGCACAGCTGCACTTGCAGGGTGGGGCAAGTGTCTGCAAGCACCTCACTGGCATCCAGGCCGTGGGAGTCAGCCCTTGAGGGAGATAAAGGCAGTAATTGCTGCCATGAAGTGGAGGGCTTGTGTTTTTCAGAAGGTGGTCATGCTGTTGGCTTGCAGTTAAGAGAGGCTAGCACTGGGGAAAAATTGGATAGCAGCAGGTCACTTGGTGGGAACAGGTCCCTGGGCCTCTGGCCCTGCTCCTCCCAGCTGAGGAAGTCTATCAGCAATGCCTTCTGGTGTCAGCTGGGAAAGACAGACCTCAGTTCAACAAGCCGCCCTGCAACCTCTGATGAAGGCATTGTGAATTAAAGGAATGTGTCCATCCTGAACTCCATCAGAACATAGAATGCCCTTCTTCCTGTGTTTGAGGCTCTGCATGAGTCAAAGGCTAAGAGAGGAGAAACAGAGGTGTCTGGGCTGATAGCATGCCTACACCTTGGCCATCCACACCTTCCCTTTAATGTCTTAGAAAGTATGCACGATGCATAGAATGTATGAGCAGATCATCAGAGGTTATCAACTGGATATTCGTATCCCCCAAATTCATATGTTGAAATATGATCCTCAATATGATAGTATTTGGAGGTGGGCCCGTGGGGGGGGGTGTCGTGGGTCATGGGAATGGAGCCCTCATGAATGAGATCAGTGCTCTTAAGAGGCCAGAGAGCTAGCTTGCCCTTGTCCCTTGATATGAGGACACAGCAGTAATGATGGCTATCAACCAGGAAGAGGGCTCTCACCAAGAACTTGCCCTGCTGGGCATCCTGATCTTGGACTTCCAACTTCTAGCACTGTGAGAAACCAATGTTTATTGTTTAAAGCACCCAGTTAATGGTATTTTGTTATTGCAGCCACGCTAACTCATAGTGTGGTTCTAAAAGGCAAGGGGAAGTGTCCCTTGGTCATTTTTGGAACTGTATCCTCATGGCAGGATCCTTGCACTTCTAGGGGAATCATGCCTGGCAGGTCCAACTTGTCCCTTGCTTGTGGCTTTCTTGGCGACTTCTTGCTTTGTAAGTTGCCAAACATGTTGCTCAGTGCTCCTGAACAGATGAGGTAGCAAGGGTGGCGTGGGCGTCAGGGGCCAGGCCATCTCTACACTCTTCCCACACAAGAGACTAGAAATAAGCAGTCTGGTTCCCTCAGGCTGGGACTGAGCTGGCATAACATCCTCGTCACACTCAGGAGGTGCCCGAGCCTCCTCCCCGCAGGGGGAGCCTCTTGGGGTGTCTTCTTTTTTTCTCCTGCCTGATCCTCTTCCTACTGTTTCTCCTCATCTTATACCTTCCCAGCTTGTAGTGGGTCAGATTCACAGTGGATTGGATGCACTTTCAGGCTGAAACCTATCTGACATCATTGCCTGGGCACTCCTGGCTTACCAATGGTTGGTACTCAGTCATAAAATAGAGAACTAATTTCAAATTCTAAGTGCAGTTATGCAGATTGGGTGCTAGTATCATAATGCCTTAAGACTGCTAAACATGGAGGACCTTAAGACCAGTAAGCACTCAGTTGCAATTGGTATGATTAAAACCCCCTCATGGGAAGTTCCTAGATGATCATTTCCCTGCATGAAGCCCTTAATAGCTCCTTGTATACTCAGGAAAAATTCAGACAATGCCCTTCATGAGCATCCCCTGTTATGCCTCTGGTTTTAGGCCCACCCCGCCAACTCTATACTCACACGTGAACTACATAAAACACAAAACTCGCTGTTTGCTCTTGCCTCAGGGCCTTTACAGTGCTGTTTCCTAAATCTAAATCACCTCTTTCTGCTCTACCTAGAGAGCTCCAACTCCTTCTTCAGATCTCAGTCAAGACGTCACTTCTTCCTGAAGGGGTCTCTAAAGGTGAGGTTGCTGCCCTGTGTTTACCTCACGGAAGGGCTACATCTCCCCTGTCCCCACCCAGGACCCCAAGCACCACAAGCACAGGGACTGGACTCAACATATCCACCAGTGCACTAGGAGCCCCGGGTACAGTGCCTGCCTCAGTACCCACCAAGGATATTCTTTGTAGAAAATAAATACTCAAGTGCCATCAGAGAGAGCACCACCTTCAAAGTAGAAAAGATAATCAGTGATCTGTCTTACCAAATTCACTCATGTCATCTACCAAAATAATTTCTTCAAGTAAACTGTTTGGAGTGAGATTCACAACACTGAACATTGTCCGAAACAAGGCATTGAATTCTTCATTATGGAAGCAGATGATGACACTGGCAGTGGGTAGGTGGGTTGAGTAGTGGTTTTGAAGACACCTGCAGGCATGAATGACAGGGAGAAAGTGACCCATCTTAAAGCCTGGGCTGTTTGGAGTCTCAGTCAAACACCTGTCCTTAGTTCATCTTTTTTCCCCTCTTTATTCCTTCAACTGATGATTGTGATAACAACATGACAGGACATCTAAAAATACAAAAATTAAGACACAAAGATTTCTTTCACATGTTGTGATACCGGAATCGTTTCCCGCTCCTCACCACCAGTAACAGTTGCTCTTTTCCTGAGACTTTCTTTGGTAATCTTAGTTATATTTTAAACATAGTATAAACACAAATTCTATTTATATTTTAGTGCCTGTTATAAAAATGAATTATTAGAGTCATACACATGGAAAAGTTCACATTAACTTTATTGTACTACCTTTGAAGAAAATCTATTATATTTACGGTGTCTGTTACAATACCAAAACACAGTGGGTGTGGTAGAATTGGATTTCTTCCAGGTCCTTTTTTTTCTCTTTTTCTTTCTTGTTTTTCTTTTCTTTTTTTTTTGAGACAGTTACACTCTGTCACAGGCTAGAGTACAATGGCATCATCATAGCTCACTAAGACATTAAACTTCTGGGTTTAAGCAGTCCTCCGGCCTTGGCCTGGGATTACAGGTGTGAGCCATCATGCTTCCCTGCACCCTCCCCTCACCCGCCTCTTCCAAGGACTTGACAAAAAAAAGAAAAAATTTCTTTTTGTGCACATGAGGGAAGAAATAGAGGCTGAATTCTAGTAACATTAGTTATTAACTATTAATTATAGTTTAAATTGCTATATTATTTGATTGTATTTGAAAATATTTTAGTTGTGAATTTCAGAAACCTTTGTGAGCTAACTTAAAAAAAAAAAGGGGAGATAAATTGTAAGATGACTTAAACGTCTCACAGGACTAGTTACAGAAATGCAGCTGGGCTGGGCACAGATTAGAGAGGCCAGAAATAAATCCATGAATTTATGGTCAATTGGTTTTAATTTTTTTTCAGAGACAGAGTTTCACTTTATTGCCCTGGGTAGAGTGCTGTGGTGTCACAGCTCACAGCAACCTCCAACTTCTGGGTTTTAGGCGATTCTCTTGCCTCTTGCCTCAGCCTCCCAAGTAGCTGGGACTACAGGCACCCGCCACAAAACCCGGCTATTTTTTTGTTGCAGTTTGGCCAGGGCTGGGTTTGAACCAGCCACCCTCGGTATATGGGGCTGGCACCCTACTCACTGAGCCACAGGTGCTGACCCAGTCAATTGATTTTTGATGTCAAGGACATACTGTGGGGGAAATGCCAGTCTCTTCAATAAACGGTATGCTGAAAACTGGATATCCACATGCATCAGAATAAAATTAGACCCTTATCTCACACCATATACAAAAACCAGCTCAAAGTGGATTAAAAACTAAAAAATAACACTTAAAACTATTAGAAGAACACAGAGGGGGAACAACTCCATAACACTGATCTGGGCAAATTCAGATTTGAGCCCAAAAGCACAGGCAACAAAAGCAAAAATGGATAAGTGAGATTATATCAAATTAAAAAGCTTTTATACAGCAAAGGAAATAATCAACAGAGTGAAGAGACAATCTACAGAATGGGAGAAAATATTTGCAAACCACACCTCTGATAAAAGATTAATACCCAAAATATATAAGGAACTCAACAATTCAATAAGAAAACAACCTGATTGAACAGTCAGCAAAGGACCTGAGCAGACATCTCTCAAAAGAAGACACGGAAATGGCCAATAAGTGTGTCAAAAGATGGCCAACATCACTAATCATCAGGACATGCCAATTAAAACAAAGAGCTATCACCTCACACCTGTTAGGATGGTTAGTATCAAGATAACAAGCATTGTCTAGTATTGTGGAGAAAGGGGAATCCTTGCACAGTTGTTAGAAAGATAACTTAAAACAGCCATTTTGAAAAACAGTCTGACCCAGAGTCCCACTTTTGGCATCCACCCAGAGGATATGGACTCATGCGGGAGAGACACCTGCACGCCCCTGCTCACTGCAGCGTTTTCACAATAGCTAAGACGTGGAATCAGTCTAAGTATCCACCAATGGCTGACTGGATAAAGAAAATGTAGTATTTGTCCACAATGAAATACTATTCAGCCTTAAAAAGGAAGGAAATCTTGTCATTTGCAACAACATGGGTGAAACTAACATTATATTAAATGAAATAAGCCAGGCACAGAGAGTTGAATGTCACATGATCTTGCTCACATGCAGAACCTAAAATAATACATTATACACTTGAAAATTATAAAGGGAGTAGATTTGAAGTATTCTTACCACAAAAACATTAAGTATGTGAGGACTTACATGTGTTCATTAGCTCAATTTAGCCGTTCCACAACATATACATATGTTAAAACATCATGTTGTATATCATAAATATACACAATTTTAATTTCTGATTAAAAATACAAACTAAGGCTCAGTGTCTGTGGCTCAAGTGGCTAAGGCACCAGCCACATACACCTAAGGTGGAAGGTTCGGATCCAGCCTGGGCCCGCCAAACAACAATGATGGCTGCAACCAAAAAATAGCCAGTCATTGTGGCAGGCGCCTGTGGTCCTAGCTACTTGGGAGGCTGAGGCAGGAGACTTGCTTGAGCCCAGGAGTT